TTTCCACAACTTTTTCTTTCAGTTCATTCCACTTGTTGACCACCCGTACAAGGTACGGGCATTTCTTTACATTTCTGCGGTTCAGTTGAGTTTCCGGCTTCCACATTTATGCTCCTGTCTTACTTTCCCCCAGTTTAAAAAGGCTGTCCTTGTCCACCCCTTTATATTTCCCTTAGTATCTTGTATGCTGTGATTCTATCTCCTCTGTTTCCTTTATCCTCTAGAGCTGTGATATCAAGTTCCATTAACATATCCTCATAGCTTAACTTTCTCAGCTCAGTCACTAATCTTGTTGCAAACCTTTGTGCTTTATATATTTTGTATTTATCCTTCTCAAGATACAGATTCCAGCCTGGTACTTCATTTTCCAGTATTGTTCTATAAATGGCTGTGTAGATCGCCTTGAAGAAACCCTGATTTAGGTTTTTAAACGACGTTCGAATATTATGCAAATGTTGCCCTATTAATGAGTGTCTCTCTCACACCGAAGACCTTTTGATTTCTCTGATTCCCGCAGCTGCCTTCCCCGCTTTGGTGTAAATGCCTTCTGGTCTCCTTTCACAATTTTCCATCATATTATCTTACACTTGCTGGAATTGAATTCTAACAACCACTTGTTTTCTACTCCCGGAGTCTGTCAAGGTCATTTTGTAACTTTCTTCATTCCTCCTCTGTTTTTACATACCAGATTAGCTTTGCGTTGACTGCAAACATTCATTCATTCACAAGTATTGGGATCAGTAGTGATCCTAGGACGGACCCGACGGCACCTTCATCTGTTACATTCCTCCGACTCCAAACCTTGTTTCTGACTGTGGCTCATTGTTTTCTGTCCTCGTGCAGTCTCTTACACTCTTCAGTGTCTTCAAAGTTATCTTCACTTGCTTCTCCATCTTGCCTTTCATGACGAACAGTGTCAAATGCTTTTTGACAAGCTAGGAAAATAGTCTGCCAAGCTTTGTTTTTCCTGTCTTATCTCTGTAACTTGTCAAAGAACTCGATCAAGTTTGTCATGCACGACGTTTTCCTTGTAAATTCATGTTTCCCTTTTGTTACAAAGGTTATCCTCTCCTTCCATTCACCTGCACTTTAGGGGCTCGAACTGTGGACCTCGAACTGTGGACCTCGAACTGTGGACCTCGAACTGTGGACCTCGAACTGTGGACCTCGAACTGTGGACCTCGAACTGTGGACCTCGAACTGTGGACCTCGAACTGTGGACCTCGAACTGTGGACCTCGAACTGTGGACCTCGAACTGTGGACCTCGAACTGTGGACCTCGAACTGTTGACTTCGAACTGTGGACCTCGAACTGTGGACCTCGAACTGTGGACCTCGAACTGTGGACCTCACGCTAGGGGTCCACGGTTCGAGTCTCTTAGAGCCCAGGTCAATGGAATGTTTATTTCCAGGGACGTGTGGATGACACTTTATCCTCTCTTTGTTTCAGTTATTCTCAACGTGTTTACTTTTCCCAATAAGACATGGAATACTGGTCTGTAATTTAGTGCCTCTTGTCTGTCTTTTTCTTTTATTATTGGGAGTACTTTTGTGTTTGAATATTGAAAGATTTTCAATGTCAAATGTTTTATTGACAATTTTAGTTTGTAGGTGATATAACACTTTAGCAGCCTCAATCAGTAGCCTGAGGATATTGTGTCCTATTGAGACTGTTATTTATATTACTCCAGGTGTTTGTTATTAGCTGGCCCAATTGTTCTTTTACATTCAGCTACTCAGAACAAAAAGTTCCAGGTAGCACGGACTATGGTGAGCCCGTAAAGCTGGCCCTAAAACGAGTACTATTGTCACCCAGTATTTCCTCTGGCCATTCATTTCTCAACTCTGGTCTCCATGTTGCTTCTTTTGTAAGAACTCCTGAAATTTTGTGTTGAGTTCCTCACTCACGCCGTTTTTCCTGAGAATTCCCTTTAATCGCTTCTTACTGATTACATGAGCTCTGTTTACTTCCTACTTATATGGCTATAGAACAGTTGGGATTGGTCCTTAGCTTTCATAGCAATGTCATTTACAAATTGCCTCTCAGCTTTCTATCCGACTCGGGTGAATTCATTTCTGGGTCCTTTGAGTGACCCTCTTTTTTTTCTGTTTGTATTTTACTGTACTTTTTTCATACTTTTTTGGTCCTTGTTTTACTTCTCTGCATTGCGTATGGAACCAGAGGTTTGATTTAATTTTCCCATCCATCTCCCTCTTGAGTAGGATGTCCAGTTCTGCTGCATCTGCACATTTTTTAAACAATGAATTCCATAAACTCATTTGCTGTCTTCCCTCTGTTTTCTCCTCATTGGACTTCCCTCAGAAAGTTCCTCACCTGCTGCAATCCACACGTCTGTAATCTTGTAATCCCGGGCGGGACAGAAATGTTTGGGCGAATTCCTATCACCTAATGCCTCTGTTCACCTAGCAGTAAGTAGTTACTCAGGAGTTAGTCAGCTTGTTGTGGGGTTGCCTCCTGGGCGGGGTCAGTAATTCGACCTTGAGGGTGTATCTTGAGGTTATCTTGAGATGATTTCGGGGCTTTGTGTCCCCAGGACCAGGCCTTCACCCCCAGAAAGCAGCCCGTGACAGCTGACTAACACCCAGGTACCTATTTTACTGCTAGGTAACAGGGGCATAGGGTGAAAGAAACTCTGCCCAATGTTTCTCGCCGGCGCCTGGGATCGAACCCAGGACCACAGGATCACAAGTCCAGCGTGCTGTCCGCTCGGCCGACCGGCTCCCGGTGTAGGATATATATTATTTATATATTTTAAACCATTATATATATTTAGCTCCATTAACGCCCGCCAAACACACACCGAAACTACGACGTTGGTACAACGTTCGAACAAGTTTTAACACTTCCTAACCAGTTATAAGAACCAATATAGGAAGTTGTAACAACGTTCTAATACGTCATAAACACGTTAAGCCAAGATGTAACAACTTTATTACAAGTTGTAACAAGCAGAAAATAGAGACAGTTTCGGTTTGTGTTTCCAGGATTATGCACTAAAGGCCGTCAAGGCAGTGGTCGGTAGCTGCACGGAGCATCTCATACTCTATTCGAAATTTGCCTTCTTGAAGGTGAGTCTTCTCACCTTAATCCAGTTGGTTCTGTAATATGTTGTTCCTCTAACTGCTGGTTGCTGTGTCTACCAGTTTTGTTCTTCATGTATCATCACCCTCGTTAGGTGTCCTTATATGTCCAGTCTATTTATATGTAATTGAAAGTGTATGTGAAATCCCCAAGTATTAGAATCTCAGTCTCCTTTCTATTAAGTCTGCTTTATTCATTATATTTTACCAAGAATAACTGCTTTATCACATTCCCCCCCCCCCAACCCCTAGACCTACTGCTTGATGGGAGAGTGTAAGTGACGGCTATTATCTTCATGCTACCAACTATTGCTGTTCCTAGTATGCACTCTTGCTGATCGGTTTCCTCAGACACTTTTAATTCTGCAATATCTCTCTAAAGAAGATATCTTCAGCAACGTTATTTTACTATTAATTCCATGCGCTTGTAATTTCCTTACCTGCCTTTTACCTGATACCTTAGCAAAATCTAGTTTTAGTCTATGAATATTACATCAATTGGAAATCCATTTTTTCTGAATAGCTGGCTACCGTTTCAATAAATATGAGAAGGTTTGTAAGGCAGGATTTATCTTTTTACACAGCCCTGTTGCATTGATTTGACCAGCTCGTTCACTGAGATGGTGAATGATTCCTTCACTTGGGATATTTGAGCCTGAAAATATTCGAAGTCAAGGTGATCTTACGGTAGTTTTCCACTAAACTCTTTCTGCCTTTTTGAAAATAGGTGTGACATTTGCATATTTCCAATCTAGAGAAACTATCCCGTGGTCCAGAGACGTTCTGGAAAGAAGTTTCAGTGATAGACACAGTTCATCCGCCAGTTCATTTATGACTGATTTGAATTCCCTCCACACCTGCGGCTGTTGAATTTTTAGGTTTCTCGAGGTTCTTCCTGATTATATCACACGTCATGAGGACATCCCTTAATTCGTTCTCTTCGCCTCCTTCAAACATTGATGTGGGTATTGGGATGCTGTTTGAGTGTTTGATTGTTTGCTGCCCTTTACGTCCATTATAACTTGGTCTCATCTTTAAGGGTCTACCAAGTCTTCTGTCTTGATATTACTTCTGATATAGGCATAAGAACACCTTGGGTCGTTTTCACGTTTTGAACAAGTTTTCTTTTGTAGTTTATTGTGGCTGACCTGATTGTGGGTGACTGATTTTTTTTTTTTTTTTTTTTTTTTTTTTTTTTAGATATATACAAGAGTTGTTACATTCTTGTAGAGCCACTAGTACACGTAGCGTTTCGGGCAAGTCCTTAATCCTATGGTCCCTGGAATACGATCCCCTGCCGCGAAGAATCGTTTTTTCATCCAAGTACGCATTTTACTGTTGCGTTAAACAGAGGCTACAGTTAAGGAATTGCGCCCAGTAAATCCTCCCCGGCCAGGATACGAACCCATGACATAGCGCTCGCGGAACGCCAGGCGAGTGTCTTACCACTACACCACGGAGACTGCAATAATGCCTTACGGAGAATATAATGCTTTTCTGTATATCTCCTAATCTACGTTGTCCTTTGTGGATTGATCCCTTGTCTAAAGAGTATGTTTAGTTGGTAGAGCTTCCTGTACTGCCTGTGTCATCCATCAACCTCTCTTGTTTCTTTCTCCTTCTTTACATATATATTTTTGAACACGTTTAGTGGTGATTTTTATTTTCCCTGTGATGTTTCCATATCTTGATCTCCTATGAACTTCTAACAAGGTGTGTTGCAATAAGAGCAAGACGAGACAGCTTCTAGACCAAAAACTGAATGATAAATGGACTATATCGTTGAGAATAACTTAAAAATTGTTCATTAAGTTAAAAGCGATGAAAGCATTTTGATTCAGCTTAATATAAAATGCTAAGTGATGAAAACTTTTTGATTCCTATTATTTCTGTTGTAGTAGGAAGAGGAGGACTCGTCGGGGCTGCTGCAGGAGGCGGCGGGTGCGTCTGTGTGCCTCTGGTCGTCTGCGGTTCTCACATCGACCAGGTACTTTCAACACACATTCAGAATTGCATTTAACATCATAATGGTAACACCAGCCAATTAGAAAGTTATAACTTATTGATGTTACAAATCGGTGATAATTAAAGGTTAAGTGTACTCAGAGCCCCACCCTGGGAGTACGGGGGAATACTCCTGGATCCCCCACACACCCTGGGAGTCAGGGGGATACCCTGGGACCCACATTAGAAGTCGGTAATGTACCCTGAGCCTCAGCATGGGAGGCAGGATAGTACCTTACCCACCCTGGAAGTCGGTACCCTTGGACCCACCCTGGGAGCCTGGAGGGTACTTAGACTCACCATGGGAGTCATGAGGTACCATTAGGCCCACCATGAAAGTCATGAGGTACCATTATACCCACCATGGGAGTCATGAGGTACCATTAGACCCACCATGGGAGTCCGGAGGTACCATTAGACCCACCATGGGAGTCCGGAGGTACCATTAGACCCACCATGGGAGTCCGGAGGTACCATTAGACCCACCATGGGAGTCCGGAGGTACCATTAGACCCACCATGGGAGTCCGGAGGTACCATTAGACCCCCATTGGAGTCAGGAGGTACAATTAGACACACCATGGGAGTTAGGAGGTATCATTAGACCCACCATGGGAGTCAGGAGGTACCATTAGACCCACCATGGGAGTCAGGAAGCACCATTAAATCAATCATGGGAGTTTATATAATTGATTAAAGCTAACATATTCCTATAATATAATTAGTTGTTGTGTATGTACTCTGCAGCTGCAACAGTCTTGCACTACGAGCGGCGGAGCTCCCGGGGTCTGCTGCCCGCCATCTTCCTTGACTGGTACGTCTCTCTTCCTCGGTTCTCAACCTGGCAGGCAGGTAGGTAGGCAGGTAGGCTGGGCGGCCTTCAGTCAGCCTGTCCTACAGGTGTCTGTCCGTCTTAACAACCGCATCTGTGTTACCTTTTTTTTAATCTTTTTGTTTTTTTAATTTACTCCATTTCATTTTACTGAGTAATAAGTCAGGTCAAACCCCGAAAAGTCCCGGGGTTTGATTTCGACGGTAAAACAGAAGTGTTTAGGTGGCATATCTTTTTATCTGATGCTGTCTCGGACTGGCTGTCTGGATCAATATCCTCAAAATTGCTCGGTATTTAATTCAGTACTCAATTTACCAAACCAGGAGTTGGGCAGCTTTTGCAGGTTCCAACCTGGTTATGGCCAGTAGGGTAAACGACGCCTACAACCGTCTGCTCCATGTTGGCTTTCCATGTTATGTGGTCATGATCGTGCAAGAGGAGCATGTTGGTAGGTTATAATAGTGCAAATGTGATAATGTTGCAAAGTTGCATAGCAAGGAGAGTGTAAGATGTTGCAAAGTAGCAAGAACTAAAAATAGAAAGTTGCAAGTGAGTAAAGTAAAAAGGGAAACAATCAGAATATTACATACAAGTATCAATAGATCTACTTTCATAAAGTATCGCTTAGTGAAAGTAGATTTTATAGCAGGTAGGAGGTTCCTTTCAGGTAGGATGTTTCACGATATATATAAAACATATAGGGTAAAGATAAGAGAAATAACAAAAGAAATAGTGAATGGAAAATTAGAGCATTAACATTACATTAAAATAGATACGATTGAAAGATGGTTAGTGAGTATTAGTAGTTAGTAATAGTGAAATTGAGATAGTAGTATATCTATCATTATATGTCTTTAGGTAGCCTAAATAGTGTTGTAGTAAATAAATAAGGGAGAGAGATCAAAATACATATTTCACTTACTGGAGCCTGCCATCTCACTCGTCCATCACCCCTAGTCACTACCATCACTACTAACCACTAGTATTTCACCAGATAATCCCCCTCCCCGCTCAGCTCGTTGTCGCCGTGTGGGGCTTAGTGGACGGCTGCCGGAGTGTGATGCTCCTTGGGACAGTCCTCTGTCCTTTTCTAGCCTTGTGCTCCTGCTGCTGTCCTCTCCAATTATGCTGGGCATCTTTTCCTTTTCCTTCTGTTTCGTTTTTCTCCCCCCTCTTCTCCTATCTGCTTGCCGTTTCCTGCCGACCTTTTGCTCGTTCTGGTTCTTCCCTTGGACTTCTTCTATTTTGACGCCCGGGTGCTTGAGGAGGCATACTCTTGCACCCGTAGAACTGAAGTACCCGACGTAGAGAGCGAGGGGAACCTTTTATTGTCACTCCCCCTTTCGTCACTGAACCCGATCTCGACGGACTGTCGGTTTCTTAAGGTGGCGTTTGTGGGGCGTATACTCACGACGCACCCCTAGGAGGCCCCGGCAAGATCGGCGATAGCTTCTTGTTGGGTGTCCTGCCTCTAATTGTGGCTCCATGGTGGGTGTGGGGGCACATTCGTGAATGAATTCTTCTTTTCGTCGTGATGATAACCCCTGTTTCGGCTGCTTCTGGTGTACCTTCTCAGGCTCGTGGGGTGGGCGACCAAGCCCCTGAGTCGGTCCGTATTGGAAGACCGGGCTCTGTAGCCTCCGCTGCATTGGGCCCCGACCTTGCTCCTCCTTTGGCCTCTCTGACTCCTTCCCCTGGCTCCCCTCCCTCCTCTGTGGTTGGGTCGAGCCCCAGGCCCCCAGTGGTGACTACCTCGTCCCCTGGCGCGGCTCCTTCTCTAGTTGTAACTACTGCGCCTTTTAACCCCTCTCTCTCTGGGGGTTCTCACCGCCGTCCTCGCTCGATTCCTTCCAGTTCTGCTACCTATCAAGCCTTGTTTGGTCCCACTTCGTGGGCCAAATATTTTGATCTCCTCCCTCTTGATTCTGCGCCTCCTGACGATTTCTCCCTCCATCGACATCTCGTTGATTCCGTGGATGCCTCCATTACTTTCAACCCCACTCGTCTCGGTACACGTGCCGTTGCTGCTCCTTCTCAGGATGCTGTTTCCCGCTTGGCTGCCTTATCATGCCTTGGCGAGACCCCTGTTCGGGTCTCGAAGAACGCTCAGTTGAATGCCAGTGTTGGCACTATTTTGCTCCCGCCCTATGTTGCGACCGGTGTTCGGGACCTGCGCGACTGCCACGACGATATTCGGCATATCCTTGCTGCCCAGGGCCATTCTATTCTCCAGGTGGACACGTTTACTCGTCCCCCTCGTGGTAGTCGCCGTCAACCCCTCCGGGTTGTGAAGCTTACCTTTGATGGTAGGACCCTTCCACCCTCTGTCATTCTTGCTGGTGCCAGGTGCTCTGTCCAGGAGTACATTCCTTCTCCTCGGCTCTGCAACAAGTGCTGGCGGTTTGGGTATGGTGCCCTCCGCTGCTCCGGGACTGTCTCTCTCTGTCCTTTGTGTGGTGGCGAAGGTCACTCTAAGTCGGAGTGCACTTCTCCCCAGGCTCGTTGCCTCAACTGCGGTGAGGCCCATCCTACCTTCTCCCGTGCGTGTGTCCATTACAAGCTTGAGGCAGCCGTCCTCAACTTGAAGCACCGGGAGCGTTTATCTTTTCCTGAGGCAAGACGCCAGGTTCGCCGGCTCCCGCCTTATGCTAATATCTCTTATGCTCGCGTGTTGCGCTCTTCCTCTCCTCGTCCTTCCCGCCTTCCTCAGACTCGCAACCGTTTCCGGGCCTTGGACCCTAATGCACCCACTGCCCCCTCCTCTGTTCCTTTGGGTTCTCTCCCGAAGGATCCTCCTCCTGGTCCTCTGTCCGGGGTTCCCCTTCCTTCTACCCGGTCTGTCGTGTCTCCTGTGTCTTCTTCCTCGTCCCCCTCCGATCCTCCTTCCCATCCTCTTCCTCCATCTATCGGCTCTCCCCACCGCCTGTCGGTGCGGGCGGATGTCCATCGCTCTCCTAGCGGCCGTCGTGTGTGCTCTCGTTCGGCTTCTCCTATTGAGACACTGGAATCCGTTGCCCGGTATGTAGTTGCTGGGACACCGGTCTCTTTAAGTCAGAAGCGTAAGCCTGGCTCCTCTCCTTCGTCTTCCCCGGCGGGTAAGAAGGCTTCGCTTTCTTCCTCAGCTCCTACGTCTGGTTCTGTTGCTCCTTCCCCTCCCGTTTCAGTGATTGCGCCCCCTGTTCCTGCTATGGAGGTTTCTTTGGCTCCTGCTTCCCTTTCGGTTGCTGCTCTTGCTGGGGTGCGCTCCCCTCTTTCTACTCCCCCTCTTCCTGCTGCTGTCCTTGACTGCTCCTCTCCGTTGTCTCCTCCTCTTCCTCCTCCCCCTCCTCCTCCTCCGGACCCCGCCCGCCCACCTCTGATCTGTTCTCCCGTTTCCTTCCCTCCGTCTTTGCTCAGTTTACCCATGCCCCCTAACCCTGACTTTGCTGACCCTGATCCCGACCCTGATATTCTTTAACGTGCTCTGTTGCTCTTTCGCCTTGGTTTCTTCCTTGTTCTCTGGTTTTGTCCTTTCTCTTCTCGTCGTTGTCCATTCTTCAATGGAACGTTCGAGGTTATTACGCCAATTTCCTCGAACTCCAACTTCTGATTTCGCGGTTTTCGCCCCTTTGTGTCTGTCTCCAGGAGCCAATGCTTGGTGCTCGTCCTGGTCGTTTTCGTGGCTATTCCTTTCTCTCCCCCCCTCCTACCCCCCCCAGCCATTGCTGGGGCTTCTAATTCTTCTGCTCTCTTGATTCGTGCTGATGTTCCCTTTGTTCCTTTACTTTTTCCTTCGCCTCTCCATTGTTCTGCTGCTCGTATCTTTGTGGGGAAATGGTACACAGTTTGTTCCATTTATCTCCCCCCGAGTGTCCCGCTCTCTCTTCCTGATTTGAAACACCTCCTAGACTCCTTGCCGGAGCCTGTGCTCCTGCTGGGTGACTTCAATTGTCGTCATTCCCTTTGGGGTGACGTTCTGACGAATACCCGGGGTCGCCTCCTTGAGCCGTTTCTCCTCTCTTCTTCCCTGTCTCTTCTGAATTCTGGTGAGCCCACTCATTTGGACTCTCGGACTCGCACCCTTTATTGTCTTGATCTCTCTCTCTGCTCTTCTTCTCTTTACTTAGATTTCACGTGGCAGGTTCTTGATGACCTCCATGGAAGTGATCATTTCCCCATCCTTGTTTCCTTTTTCTCTTTTCGCCCTTCCCTCTCTTTTCCTAGGTGGCTGTTTGCTAAGGCAGACTGGACCCTATTTACCCTCAGTGCTGCTCTCTCTGACCTCTCCCTTCTGCCTCTCTCTCGCGCTCTCCTCCTTTTTCATGACACTGTCTTCAACGCTGCCCTCCGCTCTATTCCTCGCTCTTCCTCTCGGGGTCCGCGGAAGTGCGTTCCCTGTTGGAATGCGGACTGTGCTCGGGCTGTCCGCTGTAAGCGTGCAGCCTGGAAGAGGCACCGCCGTAGGCAGACGTCCGATTCTTTTCTTTTCTTTCGGAAAGCGAGTGCGGTGGCCCGTAGGGCCATCCGTACGGCTAAACGTGAATGTTGGGCATCTTATGTCTCAACAATTACGTCCGAAACCCCTCTGGCCCAGATCTGGAAGCGTATCCGCAAGATAGTGGGTAAGTTCGTTCCCGATGTTTCACCGGTCCTTCACCTCCATGATACTCTTGTGGCGGACCCGTTGCAGGTCGCTTCCGAACTGGGTTCCCACTTTTCTTCTGTTAGCTCTGGTCTTCATCTTCCCCAATCTTTCCTTCTTCGTAAACCTGTCCTTGAGTCTCGTCCTTTAGATTTCTGCACTCATCTTCAGCTTCCCTATAATGATCCCTTCTCTCTCTCTGAACTTCGTTCTGCCCTGGCCCTCTGCGGTTCTACGGCGGCGGGCTCCGATGGTGTCCATTATGAGATGCTTCGCCATCTCCCTCCGAGCACGTCTCAGTATTTACTGAGTCTGTATAATCGGATCTGGGAGTCGTCGTCAGTCCCTGAGGACTGGCTCG